CCCGGCTGATTTTTTGATTTATGTAGAGATGAGGTCTCGCTGCCCAGGCGGGTCTCGAACCCGCGGGCTCAGGCAATCCACTCACCTCAGCCTCCCAAAGGCACGGGATTACAGGCTGAGCCACCGAGCCCAGCTTGTTTTTTGTTTTTTTAATATAGAGATGAGGTCTTGTCAACTTGCCCAGGCTGGTTTAGAACCCGTGGGCTCAGGCAATCCTCTCACCTCATCCTCCCAAAGGGCTGGGATTATAGGCATGAGCCACCATGCCCAGTCTTTTTATTCTGATTCAAATCTCTAATTCAAAGGCCTAGGAATCTGCTTATGTTACGTCTCTAACATAAGAGTGATTCTTGGCCAGGCATGGTGGCTCACACCCATAATTCCAGTATTTTTTTTTTTTTTTGAGTTGGAGTCTTACTCTGTCACCCAGACTGGAGTGCAGTGGCCGCTCCTGGCCACTGCAGCCTCGACCTGCTGGGCTCAGGTGATCCTTCCACATCAGCCTTCCAAGTAGCTGGAACTACAGGCGCGCACTACCACACCTGGCTAAATTTTTTTGAATTATTGTAGAGATGAGGTCTCGCCAAGTTGCCCAGGCAGGTCTCGAACCCATGGGCTCAGGCAATCCACTCACCTCAGCCTCCCAAAGGCACAGGATTACAGGCTGAGCCACCAAGCCCGGCTTAATTTCAGTATTTTGAGAGTCTGGCTGGGGTGGGAAGATCACTTGAGGCTGGGAATTCAAGACCAGCCAGGCAAGATAGCCAGACCTGTGTCTTAAAAAATCTGCTGGAACTACAGGCGTGAGCCACCACTCCTGGCTAATTTTTTATTTATTGTAGAGACGAGGTCTCGCCAAGTTATCCAGGCTGGTCTTGAACTGCTGGTTTCAGCAATCCTCTCCCCTCGGCCTTTCATGAGTGCTGGGATTATAGGCTTGAGCCACCACGCCCGGCCTGTGTTAGATCTTAAAGCAAAAAACAATAACCTTAAAATGATGAAGTAGCCAGGCGCAGTGGCTCATGCCTGTAATCCCAGCACTTTGGGAGGTGGAGGTGAGAGGATTGCCTCAACTCAGGGGTTTGAGACCAGCCTGGGTGACTTGCCAGACCTTGTCTCTACAATAAATTTTAAGAAAACTAGCCGGGCTAGGTGGCTCAACCTGTAATCCTGCACCTTGGGAGGCTGAGGTGAGTGGATTGCCTGAGCCC